TTTCCATATTATGATTATGATTATGATTATGATTATGATTATGATTATTATTATTATTATTATTAACAACAAGGAAGGTTTTCAGGTCTTGTCCTTAGATAAACATTCAAATAGTATGCACATCTGTTTCTGTCTATAGTGATTTCTTATATAGCAGCCAAAATCGTCGCTATACGGATTCGTCGCTATGCGAAATAAAAAAGCCCATAGGAATGCATTAAAACCCATTTAATGCGTTCCTATGGGCAAAAACTCACCTTTATGCGAAAAACCTCCATACGGCCGGCATTTTCGCTGCCCGGTAAGCGAGGAATCTGGGCAAAAACACAGCGGGCGGCCATTTTCTTTACCTGGCGGCCATTTTGGAACTGCCGGTCAGCTGTTGGGAAAACATCGTTATGCGAAAATCGGTAAGCAAAACAGCTTACCGATCATCGTAAAGCAATTTTTTCCCCATTAGAAACCTCGCAATGTGATCACTTTTGCGATCGCAAAAACTTCATCGCTATGCGGATTCATCGTTAAACAGGGCGCCCGTTAAGCGAGGCACCACTGTATTTAGGATTATAGGGCCACAATATTGTCTTTACAATATTGTGGCCCAAAATAAGGATCCTGAAACCTCAGCTTTGACACTTCTTAACATCTAGAGGTTTTGCAGCTATTGTCTTCTCAGTCTGTAAAAGCCTACTAGATTGACCAGATATGTTTGGAACTGCAATTTCTGACTTAGCTTCCTCTTTTTGATTGGTGAAGCTCTGTTCTATAACTTTGAGAATAAGGAGGGGGCTTTTGCTAGCCGTTTTCCCAGTCTTGGCCAATTTTAAAACAGCCACAGCACGAATATTCCACTTCTCCACATCTTGATACTTGGAATTCTCTAGCTTACAACCTAGAAAGCCGAAGCTGACATTACTTTTTCCCCCCCATTAACTGATTAGGGGCCAAAATGAAGTATTTCATTTTGGCCCCTAATGGTTCTGATTTACTGGTTAAAGAATCTGTTTCTGCACCGGTACTCTGTTTAAAACATAGTTTCCTTCCTTCATCGATACTAATATGAACAGTGAACTAGCATTAGGATCTGCTCTTTCAGGCATGTCATCATCCCTGTATTTGAGCCTGTCTACATTTCTCAAAAAACCCACAATATGTAGCATTTTAATTTTAGCTGACATGAGTCACATGGTTTTTCACATAATTTCCTGCGTTCCTACTTTATAATTGAAACACTCCCTTTTAAAAGCGTCTGTAAGGTACTCAACGGTGTTTAAATCAATTAAGAAAACAAGTGTGCTAAAATAAGCAGATGTTTATTTTAATTCACTTCCTAATAAAATAATACAAACCAGAGCAAAATAAATAGGTACTTTGGAATTCATTGGGTGAACATGGAAGTCAGCATGGCTTTTAAGATGGGTCAGATCCCAGGTTTTTGGGCTGTGTGACCAGACCCTTTGTCACCACGTCTCCTAAGCTGGCTTCAGGTTGCATCCACACAATGGAACTACAGCAAAGGATGTGCCAAAAGGCAGATCAGTCTTAGGAGCATGGTTAGGAAACATGACACTGACACTGGGTACAACATTCTGCTCCTAATAACATACAAAATCTTGCTAATGACTAGCCTCCTGTGGAAATTAAGAATGTTTACAAGAGGAGGCATTATTATAGGCAGAGACACTAATGCAACAGTTAACTATAATCATGATAAGAGTTAATAATTCCCCACACCACATACAATGGCAGATGGTGCTTGTAAATGGGAGAGGAAAATTCCTGAGGGAACAAGGATACACTGACTACTCTGCTAGACATTGCTTATGGTCTGGAATAAAACACATCTTCATTTCCCAGATGTATCATGGATCATATAAGGAGAAATATGTATATGCCAGTCTCACTACAGATCATCAATATGGTTAGAATGGGAGATCTAAGCATATTTTCATAAACTCGATATGGAGTATCACCACAGCTAACTAAGACCCAATCTGCAAAATGGACCAAAGGCCATATTAAAGAATTCTGCAAAGACAACCAAATATATCAAATGCATTGCTATGGGATATATTCTGAGCAGCCTTCCAGGAAAATATTTAGAGTAAACAAAATAAGGAACATAGGAAGGCACAAGAGTTGAAATACACAGTTTAAGTCAGATGTATTCTTGAAGGCTTTCACAGCCGGGATCCGATGGTTGTTGTAGGTTTTTAGGGCTGTTTGACCGTTTTCCAAAGGTTTTTCTTCCTAATGTTTCACCAGTCTCTGTGGCTGGCATCTTCAAAGGACAGGAGTTAGAACACAGAGACTGGCGAAACGTTAGGAAGAAAAACCTTCAGAACATGGCCAAACAGCCCAAAAAACCTACAACAACCATCAGTTTAAGTCAATTTAAAGTAACATGGTTTTTGGATTGGTGTGTGCATCATCTTGAGAAAACGTGTAACCAAGGCTCAGAGATGAATTCTAGAACACCCCCAAGCTGCAAAATCTGTTTTCAAGGGTGGTGGAACCCATCCAAAACAAGCTGGATCCCTATTCCCTGATCTGCCTTTTGACTGATGAGGAGCACCTCTATCTTGTATGGGTTAAGTTTTAACCCTCATGTAGTCCATTACTGACAACAGACAGTGATCTAGAATTGAAACAATTTCCTTGGAAAGGAAAGAGTTAGGTGTCATCCATGTATTGATAACATTGAACCCCCAAAACTCTGGACAACCTCTCTCAGTGGTGTTCATTTTTTAACGGAAATTTAAGAAATAAACTGATCCCCTTTTTCTTTTCTAATATTGTATTTCTCTAAAAGGCCATATTAGCTTCAGAAACTCAAAATCAACATTCTCTGACAGTAATCGTAGCTCCTAAACATTAAGCATTGCAGCTGGGAAAGTTGTCTCCCTCGCCCACACAAAGGGAGCTAACACAGTAAGCAAGGACACAAGAAAATCACAATCTAAGTCCAGGAGCCTCAAGGCTAGCAAGAGAAGTAACAATTCTAAGGTAAGGACTGTGTCAGCATTCCAATATATTACACCAAATATAAGATGTGAAGACGGGATGATCACATGTCTCGATTTTGCAAGACTATCTCTTTTAAATAAACCTCTTTGCTTGTTTGCACATTTATTGGGTGGGTTCCCTCCGATTCTTTTCTCTTCCAAGACCTTGCCGGAGGAACAAAGAATCTAAATTAATTTTTATTTCATATTTACAACAGTTTTGTGTACTGTAAATGCTAAATAGCACAGGGACAAAACACAACCTTGAGGGATGCTGCAGGCCAACGGCCACTGTCGAACGGAAGTCTGTCAACACTACTTTCTGGGTTTCTCCCCCACCCCCAGAACAGATCAGAGCACCATGAAACTATGCTTCCAAGTCCTATCCTGGAAAGATACCATGGTCAGTGGTATCAAAAGCCAGAGAGAGATCCAGCAGAACCAACAGGGACACTTTCTCACTATCCAGTTCCCAGTATAATCCATCAATCAAGGTGACCAAAGACTTCATCCCATAATGAGGCCTGGACTGAAAGGGATCTATATAATTTGTCTCATCCAGGAACCTCTGGAACTGAAAAGCCACAACCCATTCTAGCACCTTGCCAAAGAATGGAACATTAGACTGGCTGTTAATTATCTAATACCAGTGGTGCCTCGCATAGCGATCGCTCCGTTTAGCGATGAAATCGCTTTGCGACACATTTTTTGCAATCGCAAAAGCGATCGCTTTGCGATGTTCCCTATGGGGGAATTTCCCTTTGTGATGATCGGTTCCCTGCTTCGGGAACCAAGCATCGCAAAGTAACGATTTTAAAACAGCTGATTGGCGGTTTCAAAATGGCCGCCGGGTAAACAAAATGGCCGCCCGGTTTTCTGGGACGGAGTTCTCGCTTAAGAGGCACCAAAAATGGCTGCACTATGGAGGATCTTCACTGAACGGTGAGTTTTAAGCCCATAGAAACGCATTAATCAGGTTTTAATGCGTTTCTATGGGCTTTTTTATTTCGCATTGCGACGTTTTCATTCTGCAGCGATTTTTGCAGAACGAATTAACGTTGCAATGCGAGGCACCACTTACTATGGTATCCAAGGAGGGCTTTTTCAGCACTGACTAATTAGCTCCATTCTGCCTTTAGCACTCTCTATCTGCCAGCTGTAGCCCAGTAGATGCACTGGACAATTCTACTGTTTGCTGATACTCTTGACCGTTAGAGAGGGTTAGCCTTGGGTTCAGGGCAGTGATCAGATCGGTTCCAGTTGAGAAAGAGGCGAGGACCCAGTAATGTTAGCAACTCAGCCCATGAATCCTACCATGAATAGTTCTCAGATGGCTATATTTTTCCTTCTGTTGCAGACCTATGTGCTCTTTCCATTCCTGAGCCCTCCGTATGAAGCATCATCAGCTTTCCTTTGAGTGAACTTCTCTGAAGGACTAAAGTTTCCCAAACGTTAGGCTTGGGGGGGGGGAGTCCTAGTCTCAGGGCACTAGAAATTCTACAATGTCTACCCCCCCCCCCGCTGTGTGGCATGATGGGAGTCGTAATTCAGGGTATCTGAATGTCAATGACAGGAAAAACCTTCCTTGTACAGTATTAACAGCAAAATGTGACCAAAATACACAGCACAATGTGGGGCAGAAAATGGGAGAGATGGAATATTGCCCTCAGAGCCACTTTCCTACCCGCTACTACTGCAGCCAGGGGCAGAGAGAACAGAGGCACGATTTCCCCATTTGCTTCTTACTTGGTGGCACGGAAGTGCTAGAAATTAATGGCAATGCTAGGGAAATCTGGGTTCCTACTCCTGCATAAGCTATAGCACTGGCCCCCAGCCTTGGGCCTCCAGATATTCTTGGACTTCAACTCCCTGAAGGCTTCTGGGAGTTGTAGTCCAAGAACATCTGGAGGCCCTAGGTTGGGGACCACTGAGCTATAGGACAAAGTGAGCTATGTAACCGTGTGTAATCAGTCTTGAATCAATGAAACAAGAAGCTATTAAGAAAAACGCCTTTAATAAATACATCAGAAACCATGTACATATGCATTGCAACAAAAGGTAAATGAACAGAAGTGTTCTTTAAAAATGAATGTCCAAGCTTACTTCAAACCATGAATCTTTTGGACATGACTCAGATAAAATTGGGCGTCCACAGGACTATCATCTGGATCCAACCCTCCATCCCACAACACCAGCAACCACCACCACCCCGCCCAGATCAGGATCTGCTTCTCCGACTTGAAATCTTACTGGAGGCTCCTCATCCAGCTAAAGATCTCACATGGCTACACACTTGCTATTTAATCATGGCAGAGGTTCAACCTGAGGAGATATACCCGCCTCACTATATAGCAACAATGCCACGATAAGCAAGGAGAGAGAGTTGGAGAGGGGAAATTTTGACATCTGGCAGGCAATGTCGTAGAGTCTGGAAATGGATGGCCAAGTAGGGCCTATGAGGTAGTTCTGACTGCCTTTGTCAGTGAGAGAGGCCTCTCCTTGTACCCATAAAGAAGAGCTAAAACACTCTCCAGAGAATGAGAGTCTGACTTATTTTTAAAAGGCCATTCAGCTGCATAATGCATTAAATAATCAAGTTTTCATGAACACCCCTCGGTCACCACCCAAGGGATAAAAGTGTGTGTGCATCTGTGAAAGCTGTGCATTTGTCTTGCCCAGGAGAACGACTACTACAACTCCTTTTCTCCTCACAGGATTACTGCAAAATCAGTCCATCCCCCACCTGATCTTCATTTCCCACAATTCCCCACTAATGTCCGCCTGCTGTGAATTCCTCCATGTGCCAGGCACAAGGCACGGATTCAGTCAAATTCTCTTCAGAGTCTTCAGGGGAATCCTGAGGGGCATTTCTCATTTTCATACGTTTAGGGTGATCCGTGTCAGGGCCAAAATCTGCATTTTCTGAGGAAAGCACAAAAAGGAGGGGGAAAAAGAAATAAGGGTGAGCACAACATTTATTTGGGGATCTATCTGGGAATGTATAGATTTTATTTACAGAATAAAATGTACTCAAAGGTGCTTGCAATCACAATTACGAGTGCCAAAGCATTTTAAAAAAATCACTATCTAAAAAGTGAGTTATGTATCTGGTTCTGAAGAAAGAGTTTGGGGATATCAAGGGGGAAAAGTCAGCCTGTGTAGCCTTGGGCAAGCTGCACAGTCTTAAGGCACCCCCTGAAGAGCACTTCTGGGTATTCACTACCTAGAAAACCATGGAAAGGATCACTGTAAGTCGGAACTGACTTGGGGGCATGCTGTTGTTGCTACTATCTGAACAGTGGTTCCCAAAACCTTGGGTCCCCAGATGTTCTTAGACTACAACTCCCAGAAATCCCATCCAGCACAGCTGGTGGTGAAGGCTTCTGGGAGTTTTAGTCCAGAGAGCTTGACTTCTCCACAACTCCTCCAGCAGGCCTCCCAGTCACATTTGAAAAAATCAGACTAATTGCCTCTTTTTGAACTGGAGCTTCTAGGAGGAGGGATCGCACCCAGACAACGTGAGAGGAATGAAGGAAGAGGGCTTTGCTCTCAGCAGACACCACTGCATCAACCTCAAGCTGCAATCTTTGGCCTGATGTCCCTCAAAGCCAAAGATCTGCAATATGCAGAACACGGCAGACCATTTCTGACCATTGGTTTCCCCTGTTTTCAATACCTACTTGCCCTGGAAGAGGCCACCTTTTGTGGATTTACAAATCATGTCACTTATCCCTGTGTCTTACTTCTCCCATAGGCTCCAGTGCAGATCAATGTGTTCCAGAACAGAAATCCTGGCAACAGAACACACCGATTCATGTATTTTATATGTATGACAGGCCCCTCCCATCTTCCCGACTGTACCGCCTGATCCACCACCAACCGCAGAAACTTACCTTTCATCTGCTGGTATCCAGACACCAAAGCTTCTGTAGGAAGAGAGAGAAAAACAATTAAGCTCAATGTTTATTACTGAGGTTGTGATCACATGAAGAAATAGATAGCATTTTGGAGTGCTTATGGAGCCATCCAGTGCAATCTATTGCAGGAAGCAGATGACACATGACAAATTGCACTTCAATCCTTCTTGGTCTAGCTGTACGGCTACAAATTTTGAGGGCAAGAATAGAGCAATTCCCAGACAGATGAAAATGTTACTTTAAGGAAGATCACTCCCAGCAAACAACCCTTTCTTGTGCTACTGAATACAGTGGTGCCTCGCATAGCGATGTTAATCGGTGCGGCAAAAATCGCCGCTAACTGATAACATAGCTATGCGATTTTAAAAACCCCAGTTAATCGGTGCGGCAAAAATAGCCGCTAACTGATAACATCGCTATGCGATTTAAAAAACCCCATTGAAACGCACTGAAACCCCTTCAATGCGTTCCAATGGGGGAAAAACTTACCTTTAAGTGAAAATCCTCCATACGGCAGCCATTTTTGCTGCCTGGTAAGCAAGGAATCAGTCCCAAAAAAGAACGGGTGGGCATTTTCCTCCCCCCGGAGGCCATTTTGGAACTGCCGATCAGCTGTTGGAAAAAAATCGCTATGCAAAAATCGGTAAGCGAAACAGCTTACCGATCATCGCAAAGTGATTTTTTACCATTCAAGACATCATTATGCGATCACTTTTGCGATCGAAAAAACCTAATCGTTATGCGGATTTGTCATTAAACGGGGCGCTCGTTAAGTGAGGCACCACTGTATGTGCCTTTGCCACTGTCTCAACTCACAACCCTTCTGGTTTTTTCACAGTGGCTCCTCCTGGTGGTGCTCCCGGACTGGGCAGCTTGGCCAAGACTACATAGGCTAGCTCTTTTTGTGACAGACACAAGGGAGAACTGAACTCCTGGTCACTAGCTCCACAGCCATATGCTCCAAATTTCTAGAACTGCAGAGCTGGAAGGGACCTTATGGATCATCAAATCCAGACCCTGTTGAGGAGGCAGTGTATCTGCATATACCAATGAGAGCTGTCGGGAGGCAGAGCCAGAGAAACCAGAAGGGAGGGGTAAGTCAGAGTGTAGTTAGCTACTTGTGAAATTGGTATTTCATCCAGTGTTTCATTTTTTCCCATATGACTGACAAAGTGGACTTGTCCATAAATGCTCACATTAAAATATTATAGTCTTTAAGGTGCCATGTTTTTGTCTTGTTTTTTTTCCTCTGGATTTCTTTTGATGCTACTCACAACGAGGCCCAACCTGTGCTAAATAGCTAGTTTACATTTATAATTTTTTAAAATTGTCAGTTTTCATACTATGACCTTCAAGCCTTTTCTCCTTCTTTTTAAAATATATTCCAATATATATATTTCCCAGTTCTGAGGCACAGATGCAGAAAACCTTCAGAAGACATGATTCTGACACATGAGATTCATAACCAATGGCAACTACTCAATGCATGAAACTAGAGAGATCTACTCAAGGACAACAGATTACAGATTAACCTATCACTAGAAGAGGGAATTTCTGAAGGGCTGGTTGTGTGTGATTATCACAGTTGGAACTTTCCTCACCCTCCATCCTAAGAAAGCCAGCTTGATTTGTTTCACCACTGGACCTGAAGGGCAAAACGTGTTCTTCACCTGAATGTCTGATTTCAATTCTGATTATGGGTCATTAGCCATATCTAGTTTGGCTTTCCAATGTCCTCATTTGCCTACAGTTCTGCTTTCCAGGAGACCAAGCAGCCCCCTTCATGGGGACCTGCCACAACCCCTATCAGAGCTTCGCAGCTGTCCTTCTGTCACCTTCAAATTGCTTCACCACCCCTGGCAGGAAGGCATTAAAGTTCTGCAGTTCCCAGACGTCCCCTCTCAGCCCTGGTGGAAAAGCAACCCGATTCACAGACATTTCCTTCATACACCTGCAGAAAAAAAAGACATTTCTTAACCAACCTTCTTTGCAGACTAGAATCTCTCCAAAGCCTGTAAGAAAAGATACGATGAGCAGAACTAGTTTAAGCTGGACAACCACTGGGGGGGGGGGAAACAATGTCCATACACACCTCACCTTTATACTGTGCCACAGTAACTTTTTCTCTCTCCATAATATCCTAGTTCTCCTGTTTAATCAGTAAAAATATCTGAGGAGAAGTCAGAACTGGGAGAACTGGTTGAAGCGTTAAACATACTTCTGGAAGTAAAGCCAGCCTGTGTAGCCTTGGGCACGCTGCACAGTCCCAGGGTTCTCCCAGAAGAAGGGAAGGGTAAACCATTTCTATGTACAGTGGTGTCTTGAATAGCGAGGTTAATGCGTTCCATAAAAAAATCGCTATTCAAAAAACTCGCTATTTGAAATGTGGTTTCCCATTGAAATGCATTGAAAGCCGGCTAATCCGTTCCAATTGGAACAAATTGCCGTCGTTAATGGAAAATCTCCATAGGAAACCTTGCTATTCAAAACGCGGTTCCCCCATTGAAATGCATTGAACCCTATTCAATGCATCTGAAGGGGAGGAAAAATCAACCACAAATTAACAGAGTCAGAACAAGGTCAAATGGGGTTAACAAAGGGTTTATTAACCCAGAGTCAGAACAACAAACATTTCAAACAGAAAACCTTAACTTTAAACCCTTTAAAAGTAGAGAACACGAACCGCGGTTCCTCCATTGAAATGCATTGAAACCATTGAAGATCGCTACCAATAATCGCCCATAGGAAAAATTGCTAATCAAGGCTTAAAAATGCCCCGAAAACCACATCGCTATTCAGTTTTTTCGTTAATAGAGGCGCTCGCTATTCGAGGCACCACTGTATTATCTACCTGGAAAACCCTTGGAAGGGTCTCCATAAGTCAGAACTGACTTGATGGCATATGATTAATACTGAGTACTTTTTCTATGTAAGCAAATTTCCATCTAGCGAGCATTTTAGCTCACTGTTCTACAATATGACATTGTGTTCTCCTTTTATATACTGCAGGCCAATCAAGCATACATTTGGACTCTTGCGTTAATATTTAAATGCTTTAACATATGCAATATTTGCAACCTTGACCCTTCTATGTCATTGTTTTCAACAAATGGTAATGAAAATAATGAAGCTTTTCACCCAAATGGTTTTAACTCTATGAGACTCCTCTTAGTTATAAATCATGCCTGTTACACATCTGCATATTAATGCTATTAAACATTTTTGGCACGTCAAGATGCTCAACAGAGAAAAGACATCCTTTGGGCTAACAGAGGGCCTTTGGCAGCAGCCTAGACAAGAAACCACCTTTTGATTTTCAGGATATCATTTTTAGCTTGAGGTCCATTTACCTTTCCAAGGTGCTTCCAATATCCTAGAGGAGAGAGAACAGAGAAAGAACTAAGGAGAGAACTGGATGACATAATGGCATTCAAAGCTGTGTGCCTGAGAAATTAAATGTACAAATATAGCCAATGCTTTGCAGAACAACAGCCAGCAAATTGGCAAAGTGAGGCTCGAAGCCAGCATGCTTTAGGATAAACAGATGTCCTTTACCTCTTAAGAGAGCTGTGCTTCTAACAGCATACTAAGAATAAAGTTTCTTTATCCCACCATGAGCTCCCGCCTTAGCTCTACAAGTTGAAAATGAGCTTAGTTTTGTTTCACAATCTGAGAAATAAGAGATTCTTTTATAGGTGGACTATGCGGACAAAGCAACTTTAAAGGATTGAGATTTGGAAGGCGAAACATTTTGCTTTCTTTCTGATTGTGAAACTAGCATCTTATCTAGCCCTTTCCAAATACAATGGTGCCTCACACAGCGAGGTTAATCCGTTCCGGATTAACCCTCGCTGTGTGAAAACATCACTGTACGGATCAAAAAAAGCCATTGGAACGCATTAAACTTAGTTTAATGCGTTCCAATAGCAGCTTTACTCACCGTACAGCGATGTTTCTCTGATGGCCGGCAGCCATTTTCGCGCCCTCCCCTCGCTTGAGGGCGCGAAAACGCTGCGCACGGCCATTTTGAAGCCACCGAACAGCTGATCGGCGGGTCGCAAAGCAAAGGTTGGTAAGCGAACCGCTTACCGACCTTCGTTTGCGATTTTGAGCCATAGGGGCCGTCGGTGTGCGATTGCATTTGCGATCGCTAGAACGGCCCTGTTGTGCAGATTCGTCGTTCTACGGTGTACTCGTTGTGCGAGGCACCACTGTATTTAGAAACAACTTCTATTGTGAGATGTGTACATTTTTCTTATTGTTTCCTGCAAATACTTATAAGGCTACCCCAGGTGTTGAAACACCTGCTCTCAGTACACAGATTTCACCTACTTGTCTCCTCAGTATTCACCAGATTCCTCTCATTTTGTGTGTTGCAGGTATGGCAATTGCAAGCTTTTTTTTTTTTGCCCCAGCAGCAGGTAATATGCCCCATTTACTACTCGTATACTATTTCTGATCATTAAAGACAACAGCGGGATTCCCCTGTTTTGCAGCTGATGGAGGTGGAATCCCACTGCTCTCCCTAATCAGTGATCAGAAATAAAAATATCCAGACCTTTCATGAGTTCAATTAGGTCCACAGGCTGGAGGTTCTCAATCCAGAGACAGCAGACAAAGTAACCACACACAGATTTAGTGACAGCTTTTTCTCCAAGAGAATACATTAAACATTGGGATATTTTGCCCAATAGATAGTGTTGGGATTCTCACTGTGGTCTCCAGTCACTGATCGGAAATAACAGCAGGATTTCGCCTTGTGCTTCTTTATCTTCCCAGTGAGAAGTGTGCGGGGAGGGCTGCATGGACACAAAGGCTAAAGACCAGACTTTAGTCCCCCCTGCCCCCCACAGAAAAGGGGGAAAAAAGCTTTGATAGTTTTGGGTCGGATTCCTTGCCTGGAGGACGTCAAATGGCAGCTGCTCACACTTCCAATTTAGCTCCCAGATGGTCTCCTTGATGATGGTGTGTTCCTTGGAGAGTTCAGCCATGTGCTCACTCCTCTTCAACTTGATCTCTTCCAACGCCTCCTCAACCCTGCTAGCCCACAGGCTGCTTTGTTCTTCCACAAGCTGGTGCACTTTGCTGAACTCCTCCACCATCTTTCCCTTCTCGGCTCCTATTTGTTGCTACCAGGAACACATTGGAGATAAAGAACAGCCCAGTTAAGGTATTTTGAGGAAAAAGCCAGCCATAGAAGCAGCAAGCAGCAGATTCTACAGGAGAGGCACTTCATGAGATTCAGACACAGATTTTTTTTTGTTTATTACTGTTTTTAGTTCCACAAACCTACTCTTTTGTAAAAATGCTTTTAAAAATATATTTTGGCTCAAAAATTCCCATGTGCCAACATCCAACCTTATGTAAATTATTCTACATTTTGAGGGACACTAAGCACTTCTCCCCCATAACTCTTTTTTTAAACTTTTCTAAAAATTAACCATTAGTGGGTTAATTAACTGTGACGATTAACCATTTTTAAAATCTAAGAACTGTAACTGATTGCTTTGAAACACCAGATACTTATCATACCTAACTCATTTTAACACAATGCAAGATTTCAGTGAAGTAGCTGCATTTGTTTTAACATATGCAGCAAAAGTATAATACAGTAGGACCATGGTATCCGTGGGGGGTTGGTTCCAAACCGCCCCCACGCTGAAAATAGTGGAAATATGAACAATATACATTGCATGTTCTCTCGCTCCCTCTAGTGGCCACATCTGTTAAATACACTCTGGAAATATACATCTCCAGGTATGTGTGGTTATTTAGTATTTTCAAGCAGCAGATAAGTGAATCAGTGGATAATGAACCTGCAGATAATGTGGTCCTACTACATAATTCTAACAATGATCACCGAATTAGCCCTTGTCAAAGAGGCACAATGGGGAATTGAACAAAGGAGTTATGGCTCCTTAAGTACTAATCAATTTACTGTAGCCTGTAGTTTTGTGGGTCACAATCCAATTTCTCAGACACGAGAGAGGTTGCTTCTGAACAAATGGATTGAAACCCACAAATGCTTGCATAGAAATAAATCTGTTAAGGTGTGACCAGATGGCTGTAAAAGTGCACACCTGATCACACTGGAAAGGGGCACGTTAATGGGTGTGATCTTTCCTTAAAGTGACTCTACTGTTTTCTCGGGAATCACTCCAGCCCTTAAAAGTAGAGGTCCATACAAGTGGACCCAAAATACAATATACATTGCATGTTCTCTCGCTCCCTCTAGTGGCCACATCTGTTAAATACACTCTGGAAATATACATCTCTAGGTATGTGTGGTTATTTAGTATTTTCAAGCAGCAGATAAGTGAATCAGTGGATAATGAACCTGCAGATAAGGTGGTCCTACTACATAATTATAACAATGATCACCAAATTAGCCCTTGTCAACGAGGCACAATGGGGAATTGAACAAAGGCGTTATGGCTCCTTAAGTACTAATCAATTTACTGTAGCCTGTAGTTTTGTGGGTCACAATCCAATTCCTCAGACACGAGAGAGGTTGTTTCTGAACAAATGGATTGAAACCCACCAATGTTTGCATAGAAATAAATCTGTTAAGGTGTGACCAGATGGCTGCAAAAATGCACACCTGATCACACTGGAAAGGGGCACTTTAATGGGTGTGATCTTTCCTTAAAGTGACCCTACTGTTTTCACTCCAGCCCTCAAAAGTAGATGTCCATACAGGTGGACCCAAAAGACCAGGATGAGGCTGAAGCATATTTCCCACAGCATCATGTGCCTGCCCAGAAATAGATCACCCTGAACTGTTCCACAAACACTCTAAATTGCGATCTAGTTTCCCCAGGGAAAGACTAAGGAAGACAGCCTTAGTCTTCAAGGTGCCCACGATATGCATGTTTGTACTTTTGCTATGCAATGCAAGTTGTGATGACCTCACCCTGAGAAGGGCCCCACGTGATGTTACTGGCTGTCAGCTGCGGGGCAACACAAATCACAACCCTGCATTGTGTGCTGCTCATACCTAAATTTAACCTACCCCACTATGCATTTTTTAAAGGGAACAGTTACAAGGGACCCTCTACTTAGAGAACTAATCCGTAGTGGAACAGCGGCTGCAGGTTGAAAAGTCTGTAGGTCGAGGCTCCATCGACCTACAATGCATTGAAAACCGATTAATCTGTAACCGGCTGTTTTTGTTCCGTTTTTGTTCCATTTCGGGGTTTTTCTGGTCTGTAGGTCGATTCTCTGGCTGTAAGTCGAACCTAAATTTTGCAGCCAGAGAAGTGTGTAACTCAAAAATTCTGTAAGTCGAGCCATCTGTAAGTCGAGGGTCCACTGTAATTGATTCTAATGGTTTGAGTGCATCCAATTGATTTTAATAGCTTTTACAGTGGAGTTTTTATTTGATTTTTACAGGCCTGCTTGATTTCAATAATAATTAACAATTACTGTATTTGCCATCGAGTCAAGCTTGGCGTGCTTTAGTCCATGGGGTCACGAAGAGTCGGACACGAATTAATGACTAAACAACAGAGGTATAGAATACACAAAAGTGTTTTCCCATTTACTTTTTCTTAAAGCCCCTAGGACTGTGCAGCTTGCTCCAGGCTACACAGGCTGGCTTTACTCGCAGGAAGCACAGTGGGGAATCAAACTTCTGACATCAGATTCCCAGCCAGGTACCCAACTTACTTACATCTATTTATTTTTTTGTAATGATGATTGTAACTTCCAGGTATAAATGTAATTTTTAAAAAAAATCAGATAAATAGGTAACACCTGATGGGGATAACAGGAAAAAAGTATGGGAAAGTAGAAGCCCTGAATCATGCAAGAATTATTTTAAAAAAACTATACTCTTAAATTAGAGATTTGAGATAAACAAACCCTTTAAAATCTGGTGTTTAACAGACCCCCATCTTGCATTCAGCAGAAAGAATAGTTTTGGGAGATCTAACCTTACACTGTCTTTTTTATGGCCTTCATAGAAACCAAAAACTGCTCTTTTTTTCTGAATGTCAATCACAAAATGAAAGTGCTAATTAGAAACAGAGAACTTTCCATTGGCAGCAACACCTACAATAAGGTCTTCCCATTGCTTTTCCACCTCTTTTTCCTGTTTCACAATCTCCTCTTCCTGCTTCCTTAGATGCCGGACACGACTTATAAAGGAATCCTGAAAAGAAGGACATCATCAGGTATCTTGTTAAACATCAATCCCATTTGCCTACAGGGATTACGCAAGGATTACTCTGCAACCAATAGGAGCTGTTTTCCAGACTGGCCGAAATCCTGCCATGGAAAGTTATCAGGAAAAACTTCCTAACTGTTAGAGCAGCACAACAGTGGGATCCAGATACCTTGGGAGTTGGCGAGTGCTCCAACACTGGGGGCATTCAAGAAAAACTTCACCTGGCAGATATGCTTTGATTGTATTCCTGCATTGAGCAGGGGGTTGGACTTGATGGTCTTGTAGGCCCCTTCCAACTTCACTTTTCTACAATTCTATGAAAATTACGCAGCAGAAGGCATTTTTTTACTATTTAAAAAGATCTGATTCCATCCTCCACTCACAAACAGTTTGAGATTCCCTTGGGATCCTTTTCATTGTGGAGATGATGTTGGGGGCCACAGAATTGGGGAGGGGAGTTTTTGATGTCCAAAAACCACAGCCATTGGGATAATTTTACTAGTAGCAGCAATTTTTGGAATTTAAAGACAACCGACACGGAGACAATCTTGCAGCTCCCAATGGCTTCTCCCCAAGGAATTCCAAGGGAGCCTCAGGACCATCAGAGACAGAAAGAAATGCTTAATTTCTGAAAAGTCACCGCAGCTGATTACATCATCAGCCTTATACAATGCAAGTTTCCGCAACAGGATTTCAGCCACTGATCCTTGCATACCTGCTCTTTTCCCTGCTGTGCAGTTGACTGGGCAATGGGCAGCCTGGGAAGTGGAAGAAGACAGCCCTTAAGACCATGGAAGTACGCAACAGGATTTTGGCTGAGAAGTCAGCAACTACAGATTGAGACATGTAAGCTATTATGCAAAATTTCCCCATTTCTCAGTTTCTCATAGTGTCTCCTTCCCTTTCCTTCAAGTTCTCATTTATTGGGATGGAACTGGAACTCCTACCAGTGAGGAATGCTGGAAACTGCAGGCCAGGAACCTCCGGCGGGCTGCACGTTGGCCATCTCTACTGTCAGAACAGATACAGTGTTTGTGAGCATTCCATACCATTGCGCACCACTTAAGGTGGTCAGTGCCAAAGACCTTATTGACACAAGCCCAATAGAGAGGATTTAGCTAAGGAAAGATCAGCAGCATAGCAGAGACAGGACTTGCAGGGTCAAAGCCCTGGTACTGTCTGAGCAACTGGGACTATGATATGTCTTGCCACCCCCGTCAGGCTTCCTCAGCCCCTCGGAGCTTAGCTGCAATTCTCACAGCAGCTGAATGGATTTTCCCTGGACCAGTATATTACTGCAAGCTATCCATTGTCAAGCAAAGTGTTTGCGGATTTTGAGTGCGTCATTAAGAGCCATTAAGTTTACAAACGACTTGTACTGATTAGGGACAGTCTCAGTCTAGCCTGAATTTTTAGACTCTCCAGTGAAGAGTATACTGATTACAGGGACTGTCACGATCAACACCTGCCCTTTCTTCCTTTATGTTTAAACTTAAATTTAAACTAGGCACTTTCCACATAACAATGTGTACAAGCCCAAACTAAATATAACCTCAGACTTGGGTTGCTTTATTACCTGCGGTGCCTGTGGGGTCATGAAGCTTGTATTTTTAATGCCTTTCTTTTGAATGTCTCCAGCAAAAATAAACCTGAAAGCAAAAGCACCTGGCCTCTTAAGGAGCCAGGTCGTTCAGTTGAAATTGGGAGCAGGGAATCTCCATATTCTCCAGCATAGGACTATTCTACATTCTCCTGCAGGGCTGGTTTTCCTTTTGCAATGGGAAGGGGGAGGGGAGGACTGCAGGATCAGAGGGACAGACTGAGGGTAAGGAGGCAAGGAGGGAGGGAGGGAGCTGTGGCTCCTCAAGCAGCATTTTTTCGCTCGTCACAGACAAGTGGACAAGTGAATTTTTCAAGCCCTGGTGATTCAGGTGTGTCAGGAGAGGAGTGTTATTCCTTCCTCCTTCTAAAAACATTGCCCCCATAATATATGGAGTGAAAGGGCCCCTATTCCATTCCATAAACTGAAAGCTCCCAACCGTGTATGTTCGGGCTGCTTCCTCCACAGAGACAACGTCATGTTGCTGGTGATCCCTGGCTTCGGCGCATTTTAGGCAGAAAGTGACCAGATCGTCCATGCAAAAAGCAGTGGCATCATCCTCATGCTCCTCGCAGATTCTCACCCCTGTGGCCACTTGCTTTGCCACATCTTTCAGCTGCCTGATCAGCCTTGCCACGTTGGCTAGTTGGTCGTTCGGCCGTAAGTTTGTCTGAAGAATGGCCTTTTGGCACCGAGGGCAGGTTCTGGCCAGGGAGAATGGTCCCCACGAGCGCAGGATGCAAGAATGGCAGAAACTGTGCCCACAGTCTAAAGTGACAGGGTTGATGAAGTAGTGGACGCACAGGTAGCAGGTCACTTCCGAGTGAAGCATCTCCTCAATGCTGTCAGCCGCAGACATCCCCTCGGAGATCAGCGTGGGATCCAGATGTCTCTTGCCACGAATCAGCTGACAGGCCTCGGACAGAGAAAGGGGAGCAACTGCTGTCTCCACAACAACAAGACAGGAGTGAGCTCCAGGCTAGAAGAGGGGAGAACAGGGATGGAGGGTTAACCATCTTGCAATTCCCAGTTTCCCCAACCTCCTGAGGTTCAAATCACATATTAGAGGAGGGTGCCTTGTAAAGAAGCAATGGAGGAAACCAAGATCGCATACAAGATTTCTGCAACAACAGAACAAACCAGCAAATCTAGCACAGCTGTTGTCCTCATTTGCCTGAATCCTACTAGCGTTTGCAAAAGGTCTGCATTAACTCGCCACAGCTAATTGTGGCTAACTGATGAGGTGTTGAGGCACCTCATATGCCCTAGCACCTCATCAAACAACTCAGTGGCTTAGATCTCTGGCTGTGGAGCCAGACGCTGGAAGCTCGATTCCCCACTGTGCCTCCTCGACACGGACTGGACTTAATGACCCATAAGACCTTTTCCGGACCTGACGTTATGGCAAGTTATAGAAGCCTTATGTGAACATCAGACACTGTGCCTCCTTGACATGGACTGGACTTAATGACCCATAAGATCTTTTCCAGACCTGACGTTATGGCAAGTTACAGAAGCCTTATGTGAACATCAGTAGGGACGTGGTGGTGCTGCAGGGTAAACCACAAAAGCCTCTGTGCTGCAAGGTAAGACCACCTGCAGTTGTAAGATTGAATCCACGTGACGGAGTGAGCCCCTGTTGCTTGTCCCAGCTCCCACCAACCTAGCGGCTCAAAAGCATGCAAAATGCAAGTAGATAAATAGGTACCACCACGGTTGGAAAGTAACAGCGTTCCGTGTGTAGTCACGCTGGCCACGAGACCACGGAAGATTGTCTTCAGACAAACGCTAGCTTTATGGGTTGGAAACGGGGATGGGCACCGCCCCCTAGAGTCGGACATGACTGGACAAATTGTCAAGGGGAACCTTTACCTTTTCCTATGTGAACATCAATAAGATTTTGAACAACATTTACAATCAATATTATAGATTCCCAGTGTGAGAATCTGATACTTTTCATATGTTCAAGATGGTCTTTAGCACCGACAGAAGGCAGTGTTGTGGGTCAAGCCACAGGAAACAGACAAAAAGAAAGAAGTCTTGGATGCCCCCAGCAAAGAAGACCGTGAGGAAGAGAGAAATACAACTTTAAATAAATTATAATTACCACAATAGTTCCAAGGATGCCCCCTTGGGTGATCAGTTACGGTATTTACAATTTGTAAAAGTAGCATTCCTGTTTCTCAACATTTATTAAAAGCTACTAACAGCTGTTAAAAATAACATGTTCTTTCTCTACTATTTTGTAAAGCAATATGCCCCCAAATATCAAACTAATTAAGAAGTTACAGCTATCCTGCAAATGGACTAAAATTATCCACCATCAAGTTACAATCAAAAGGTAAATTAGCTACACCTTCATTACTGGAAAAAGGAACTAATGGTCTGAAATTAGTTACTTCTGAACTCTAGAGTGTAGTAAAATGTACTAGAGAAAGAAAGAAAGCACATCTTTAAACTTGCACCTTTGAGAGTTGAACAGAAGACAGACTTTCAGGAGATGCAGCTGATCAGGTTCACGTATCATAATTTTCAGTTTCATGCACTACTTAAAGGTGTAAGAGCGCCACTTGCCTTCAGAGACATTTGGCACCCTTTTCTTCCACACAAACTGGAGCACCTTCTATAGCCCTGAATTAAAAGGATGTGGAAGATTTTTGTTCTCTTGAAGAGTTGACAGGAAGTACTTAGAATTCTAGGCATGGGTATGGTCTCGTACATTTTCCAGCAAACACATTTGATGAAAATGAAAAATAATAAATAAACCAATTCAGCCATTTGTTCACTGTAGGAAATCCAGAGCTAAAGCTTGGATCAGTTATATTGTAATTACAATTCCAGGATTTACCACCACCACCCTATTGCCCTGGTGGCTGAGGAATTTGAGGAAAGCAGTATTTTCCCACTTTCCCCGTTTGGCTTCATCACAGCAACTGGTAAGACAGAGAAAAACTTCCAGGGAGTTTTTTCAAGGTATTGCACCCAATGGGACACACACACCCCTCCTTGCACCTCAAGGTACATAAAAATCCCAGCTTAGGAAAATTCTCTCAGTAGCTGAGGCACAAAAATTCCGCAGGCAAATATTCATATCTTTTCCCAAGGGAAAAAACAACAACAACAACCCAGCCTAATAACAAACTGAAAACTCAACAAGCTGCTTCCTGAAATAACTGCCCTACTCTGGCCAAGCTACCCTTCTCTCCGACCTTACTGGTTTTACCTTGTTTCAGCTTAAAATCGACTATAAATACACTACATATTGCCAATATCCACTTACTGTGAAAGTACAAAGCACACAAACGGGCGAAAAGCAAACTGGCTTTTAAGCTTCTACGACATCCACCCCTCTTGCAGCCAAAGACACCAATATCGGGGTCAAGCTGACTGGTGTTTGGAAAAAATTATTTCCTAAATGCGATTTTAAAATTTGTTTTTAAAAACGAAATTACAGGAGTCTCCCCGCAAGCAAAAAAGAAAAAAAAGTGCAAAGCAGACCAAGAAGCAAACAAGAGACTCCCGCCAAAGACTTTTAAAAAAGGTCGCTTGAATCCAGGGCTCACCTGCTCTCCTCTTTTTGAGAGCGAAACCTTAGCCCTTGGCCACGCCTCATTGGACTACAATTCCCGAAACACCCAAGCCCCCTGTGACCGCCTCCAGAGGCCGCTTTTCTGCCGAAGAACTCTATGGGAATTGTAGTCTCCTTGGTGCAGCGCTTCGCCGGGAAGAGACCCCGCCTTTGCTCAGAAACGATTGGCCGCACGTGTGTCCAATGAAGTTCCTCCTTTCGTTTCTCGCTTTCACCTTTCCTCTTTCGTTTCGGGAAACAGCCCGCGGGACGCTCTTGCGGGAGGGTCGCGGGGGAGAAAATGAAAGGCGGAGTAACGAGTAATTTAAACGGGAGATTAAAGCAAAGACGCTGATGAGTTACAATTAGCCAAGATCCTGTCTCTTAAGGTGGTAAATAGCACTACATTGATTCAGTGGGGCCCACTGAATCAATGATGGTTCAAATCCTCCATGAATTCCATTGACACAAAATGGACCCATTCTTATTTTCGGAAAAGTAAATGACAGAGAGGATCCATCTGAATCAATGGAACTCATGGAGAGGTTGACTCACTAAACCCCTTTCCATTCCATGGGCCTAATCTTAATGTGATTTGCTACACTAAGCCAGTGGTCCTTAACCTTGGGTTACTCAGGTGTTTTTGAACGGCAACTCCCAGAAACCCCAGCCAGCACAGCTGGTGGTGAAGGCTTCTGGGAGTTGCAGTCCAAAAAACACCTGAGTAACCCAAGGTTAAGAACCACTGCGTGACTAAGCAACAAGATTTTGGCCAGTGGTGTATGGTTTCCTGTCTAATGCAGAGCTTTAGGACTTATTCCACTGTCTGCATTTACTGGCTTATCTCATGAAGGAATGAGGAGGTTTAAAATGGATTATTGGATTCATGTCTGAGCCTGGATCTCCCATTTTTTTAATAGGTGGCCAAGAGTTACTACATCAATTACATCCGTCTCTAGAGAGGTCTGATCTGGTCACTGTAAAACATGCCATAGTTACTTCCCAGCCGGACTCCTGTAACATGCTTTATGTGGGGCTCCTGATGGACAGTGTCAGGAAACTTCAGCGGGCCCAAATTGCAGCAGCCAGATGGCTGACTGGGGCTAGTTACAGAGATCACATACCTACCCACACCCCCATTACAACAGCTCTACTGGATGTCAATCGGTTTCCGAGCACAATTCAAAGAGCTGGTTTTGACCTATAAAGCACTAAACAGCCTGCACCCACGCTATCCCAAAGACCACGTCTCCCTCTATGAATCAGCTTGGTTGGTAAGGTCATCAGGTAAGGCCTTTCTCTCAGTCCCATCACCTTCACAGGTGTGTTTGGTACAGACACGGGAGAAGGCCTTCTCTGTTGCTGCTCCCAGACTTTGGAACTCCCTCCCACTGGAGGCCAGGTTGGCCCAATCTTTGCTGGCCCCAGAATTTGGGGGTGAGGTACACCCTACCCAGATAATGAGGTGCCACTGAATGTACTTCATCCTGTCTACTTAACATGGCTTTTTGTAAGGGTGAGACAGCACAACATCCATCAAGATCATATAAGCAATCCTTCGAGGTATAGGAATCTTTGAAGGTATGAAATAAAAGCAAGGGGGATTTAAAATAGCCAGTTTTTATTTGAGCCAGAAGTTGAATTCCAAAGCAATACGAAAATAAACCTTAAGTAAAATACATTAAAAAACAACCCCAAAACACAAGTGTTCCTATACATTATAGAGGTGCAAGGTGCTCTTGTACAAAGCTGTGAACACTGAGATCTGCTTTAATGCAAATCATATTGATGTGATTAATCAGAGTGCCCCTCTTTGGAATATAATTAAGCTAGATTCAGCCTGTTCATCAAGATCCACAATTCACTGGAAATCTCAGAGGAGGCTCCTCATTCACTCTTGAGACTCCAACACAAATTTAAAAAATAATACTGACTCTGAAGACCAGACCCACATTTCTTGATCCGCATCTGTCCAGGCAAGCAGCTTTGGGGCCCAAGAGAAAAGAAGTGAGCTAAAAGGGAGACTGAAGTCAGGAATGAGTGCAGGAGCAGCTAAGGTCACTGCCTTTGGACAGCAAGGCCTGGAAGGTAAGCTGGCTGCCACCTCAGAAAGGAAGGGAGAGGTCTGCTCTCCCATGAATCCAAAAAAAAGGCAGAACAGGTTCTCCAAGGAAGAAGGCTTTTGTGCATACATGGAGCATGACCCCTTTGTCAGGGTCACAAAAGGCTATCTGGCCTGCAATGTAGTTTAAGTATACCCGAATCCTCTTGATTCTCTGTCTTACGGGCACAAATACATCGTTCCCAGCACCGATAAATCCTTGCGTCCTATTAATCCTGAACATGACCCAGACCCCCTCCTGTGTCAGAAAGTCACCCAAGCCCTTTCTCCTCAGAGACTTTTTGGCCACCCCCACAGCCCAGGAACCCGTCCCTCCCAGAACAACATCCCAGTAATATCGGCCACGTGCAATGAATTGCTCATAACCCAAAATACACGTCAGCAGGTCAAATCTCCGGTCGTCTTCTGCCAAATTTTGGTGTTCGCTTCCTAGTCGTAAACTTTTACGATCCTCAGACAGAATGAGCCTGGGATGAGCTGTGTCCGGATCAAGAGTCACGTTTGCTAAAGGACAAAGCAAAGGAGTCAGGATGAGACCTCTTTTTTTAACAAGGCTGAAGCACACAACAGCAACTGGAAATCAAATAAAACAGATAGTCCCAACCTGGTGTTTTTTAGATCAGTGGTTCTTAACCTTTGTTACTCGGATGTTTTTGAACTGCAACTCCCAGAAACCCCAACCAGCACAGTTGGTGGGGAAGGCTTCTGGGAGTTGCAGTCCAAAACTCCTGAGTAACCCAAGGTTAAGAACCAGTGTTTTAGATGACTGGAACTACATTTCCCACCATTACCCAGGCCAATACAACTGTTCTATAACTGCCGAGTAAGGGGCTTTTAATGCCGAGGGACCAATATGCTTTTAAATTGCTTTCAATACCATTAGCTCTTTGTGTACAGCATTGGACTGCCAGAGTATGATGGGAGTTGTAGTTCAACACATCTAATATACAGAAAAACCCTATACTCTCTATAGTATTCAAAGCAATCCCCATACATCATCTTAATAGATCAGCCACCAGTAAGCCTGATTTCTAACGAGAAACGAGGCTAGGTCCCCTCCCTGCTGTCCTTCTGCCTGTAGGCAAGAACCTTCCTTACTATGTAAGCTGCTGCTCAGGGAGGGGAGTTGTCCTTTTACATTTTAAAATGCATGTTTTTAAGTCGTTTGTTTAACAGGGTTGTATTTATTTAGGTAAAGATTCCCCTTGACATGCATAAAATGCACATAAATATTGTTTAATAGGTAAAGGTTCCCCTTGACATTTTAGCCCAGTCACGTCTGACTCTAGGAGGCGGTGCTCATCCCCGTTTCCAAGCCACAGACACAAATTGGTGCTCATCCCCGTTTCCAAGCCGTAGACGCAAATGTCTGGCTGAACCCAAAAATCATCTTAACTATGGCTTAGAGACAGCCTTCCCTAACCTGCTAGCCTCCAGCTGAACCAACCTAACAATTCCCATCAACTTCTCCATGGCTATTCTGGCTAAGCACACTAGTATTTTTGTTTAGCCCTTTTTTGGTTCCAAAGTCTCCAGACTTCAAAGGAATTAGGCTTTAATAAAATCCAGCTGGTATCTTCCTAACAATCTCCCACCTCTTCTGTGAATTGGCCCCTCTACCAGTTTCCAAAGTTTACCTTTCTGCGTTTGATATCCGGATAACAGAATCCCTGAGGAAGGAAAGAGAACACAGATTAGGCTTTAGAGCATCTGGTGAGGAAGACGCTCCCTATAATCCCACCCCCTCCAAATATGCTGAATTACAATGCCCATCATCCCCAGAAAATATGCTGGATAAGAGCTATTATCCAGCACATCTGGAGAGTGCCAGCCTGTGAGGGAGGCTATAATATTACACCCAGTGAAAATTGATTAAGATCAGGCTTTAGGCAACTGTTTCGCTGCTCAATAAAGGGCTGTGCCTTTTCACTGATGGGTTTTTGAATTGCTTTCCATTTGGTCGTTGTTTTGACATAATAATCTGTTTATGTTTTGATGTGGTGACTCCCGGGTTCCTATCTTTTCATTTGTATCTCTTTTTAAGAAATCATATTATAAGATAGCTTGAGTCTCACTCTTGGGAGAAATATTACCTTGGATTTTTTAAAAAATCACACATCAAGCAGGGCCAGTTTTGGATATCACAGTAATTACCCTCCCCCCCCCCATGTATGCCCTTATATGTTCAAGACAACTTACACAGAAACCATTGAATCAAAAACACACTTGGGGAATATGGGTCTAACCCTCTGTGTAATGCGTTCCAAATCCAAAATGCCATTACTGTACAGTATTTATATAATTGCTAAGAGAAATGTAGCCTGAATTTACAGCAATCAGATACCTGTGGGGGTCTCTGGAAGTCAAGAAAATGTGGGCCTCTAGGTATTTTGGTACTACAACTCCCATCATATTTAGGTAGCCGACCCAGCTGGGGATTACAGGGAAGGCAATCTAATAACATCTGCAGGCCCACACATTACTTATTCATAATTCAGGAAAACAAGGGGTATCAGATTCAGTAGGATTTACTCCTAGGTAAGAGTGCACAGAACTGCAACCTTATGTTGCCTTCAGAATGGTCTCTCTCTAAAGCAATGGTGTTTGCGCAGGACAAACCACTCACAATGACCGCATTTAACCGTAAAAACTTTTTTTCTCAAAGGATGGCTTACTTGCAGCTGGTCCTCCAGATGTTCTTGGACTGCCACTCCTAATACTCATTATCTGCACATTAGCTAGTACCAACAACATCTGAACAGCCAACTTTGCTTTTAAGTTTTATTTTATTATATTTCCAAAGAGCCCATTTTCATTTCCCCTTGTCCCTTCCTGTATCAATTTAATAACAGTCATTCAAGTTGGATCTAGCATTCCGGTCGTGAGATTCTGACAAATGACATGTGAGAATTCTTGCCACAATCCCAAGCATCCACATGACCTGACCTGGATTTACATTAGCTGAACCTAATCAGGAAGACACAGAGCTTGGCTAGAAAGCTCCTTTAAGGCCTCTTCCAGATGGTGCCCAAGTTTTAACCCTTTTTTTCTCTTGCTTGGCTGCAAAGGAGTGCAAACCCAGTGGCAAAGCTTTTCTTTAAAAAGTGACTTCTCTTTAACAAAACTGCTTCTCTTTAGGAAATCTTTTTTAAAAATCAGCTTCTCTTCTGGAGCATTTCTGGTTTGCAGTCCTAGTTGACATCTTCTGATTAGGAGGCTCCTACCAGATAATAAACTTCACGTGAGAAGAGCCACAATGCGACACTCTGCCCCGCACACCCCAAGGGGAACACAAGGAAATCATGCTTTCAAGGAGATATGAAAAGGTGTGGGAAGCCATGAGAAAAGTTACCATACTGAGCAAAATGAGAGGAGGGGGACATATTAATAGTATCAGTACCGAACATAGAAATATTAAGATGATCATCTGAAAGAGCCCTCACTTCTACCTAAGCAACCTCCCACTGGGAGGGGACAATAGAAGGATCTTGCTTTCAACCAAGGATTAGAAAAGTTACTTTTTGGATGACTGCTTCTAGAAGCCCCCAGCCACCATGACCACACTCAGGGAGGTGTCGTCTCAAAAAGGTAACTTTCTCAAGCTCTTGTCCCAACTTTAGGTTGACTCTTAAACGTAAGGTGACAGCCTAAAGAGCCTGGCACTCTCAGGTGGTGGCCACAATTTCCTATTAGAGGAGAAATTTGGACAGCTCAGTTTGGACAGCCAGAGATGGGGGGTATTTGTATATGAATACAAATACCCCGCACAGCTGGACATAACGAGGGTCCAGCCCCCTGGTTCCGGATCATCCACTCTCCCATCTGCTGCTGGTGATTCTGTCAAGGTAAACTTACAGGCCTGAGCAGTACAAGTGCCTTAATGAGCAGCCATAATGCACAGGTGTGTTGAAGTGCTGACTCATGATGACTCAGGAGGGCTGGCTCTGGGATGATGCAATGTCTGTGGTGATTGGACATAGCTAGATGTACAAATGTATATATGTGGACTCTATATAGATGATGCATTCTTGTTTTCCTGATGAGTATCATGCTGCCGGTTTGCACTTCTGTAAATATTCCTGTAAATACCCGTCTGCTGCTGGAGAAGCTGCTTGTGTGTGTGTGTGAGTCATTTTACCTGGACCTGAAGTCACTCTGCTAAATTTCTGCATACTTACACTAACAGATTCTGCTCTCCCTTCCAATCCCTCCGTAGCTCCCAATCGGCTAGCCACTCCTGGCAGAAGGAGGGAAGACGAGTCTTCCTACCAGGCTGACAAGTTGCTAGCCGACCGCAAGCGCCGAAGCGATTGGAAGGGAGAACAAAACCAGCAGTGGCAGCAAACGCTTGAGTCTCCCCATCTCAGAGCTTCTTCCCCCCTCATCTATTAGCAGTGTTCTCCATAACCAGTCTGCTGATCTCTTTTCCTCTGCCACCCTATCTTTACCGTGGCTACTTTCCTCGCACAGAGCTGAAGGAACAATGTCACGGCGACAGGAGGACCTGCCACAAAGGACGAGAACGGCTTTCTCAACAAGTGAGGCTCAGGCTCTCACCTGTTCCCATAAGCTCCGCTCCAGTTTCCAGAGACCAAGCAGTGGCCCAGTTCCCTCTCTCAGAATATGATCAAGGGCTGGAAACCTATTTGTTTGCCGCAGCCTTTCCCCTTACCTTTGAACTGGTACACAACAGACCGCATGAAGAAGCTTAAATCCAATTGCTCAAAAATGTGCATTTTGAGCTGAACTGGGAAAGTCTCAATATCCAGAAACTTTTTCTTGCACCTGGGGGGGAAAAAACAGACACACCTCAAACATCTTTGAATCAGCTTTTAAATAATGTGTGTATGTGTTTTAATGATGTAAGGCGCCTGGGGCTTAAGGAGAAAGGCGGAATAAAAATATTGTAAATAAATACACAAACTATCTGAAGTATTGAAGAAACAGAACAGGGAGCAAGCCTGGCTCAATCTATGAGCTTGCCATGAAAGAAAAAAAATCATTTTATTACGCCCGGTTCATGATGGTGTACCCTATCTAATACACACTCCTTGCCCCACAGCACAAATTGCTGACCTTCTCCCATGATCCAGAGGTTTTAAAAAAACAGCAATAAAGCAGCTAAAATCATGGTGGGATAGAGAAACCTTTCAGCCTTATGTTCTGGTCTCCCAAGACAGAAAGACTAATTCTGCCCTTTGAATAGTTTGGCCTTTCTAAAATCTGGATGCCTTACTATCAGGTTAAAGCGGCCTTGAAGGTAACAGCCAATATGATGTGTCAAGTACAGGGTGAAATTAGACATCAAGGAAAATGTGTGCTCCCCACAATCAACAGTTTTCCTGCATCAATTAATTTCTTCAGAGACGCATACCTCAACTATCAGCTTTGCAAAGTAAGCTTGTATTTACCCTCCACTCACCAATCGCAGATCAGATAAGAGCTAAATACAAAGTATGGAGATAAGAAAAACATGTGCCACAAGCAGATGCCTTTCAAGGAGCAGTGCTTCTAACTATATACAGTGGTGCCTCGCATAACAATTTTAATTGGTTCCAAAAAAAAAACATGTGAAACATCGTTATGTGAAACACCATTTCCCATAGGAATGCATTGGAAACCGGTTAATCCGATTGCCGTCCTTAAGGGAACAAACCCATAGGAAACATCGTTAAACGATACAATGTTTCCTCCATTGGAATGTATTGAAGCATCAGATTTTGACAGCTCCATTGGTTCCTATGGGCCGAAAAAAAAATCACCATAAATTAATGAAAAGTCAGATCAAAGCCAAATCAGGTTTGCACACGACTTAGGGGGTCCTCTAACAAATAGAAGCATTTAGAACCATTTTTGACCCTTCTAAGACACTTTTTAAATTGAAAAAAGAAACATCGTTAAGTGAAGCAGGGGACCTAAAATCGCATTCGTTATGCGAAGCATGGTCCCAAACTTCGCTAAGCGAAAATCGCCCATAGGAAACATCGTTATACGGTGCATATTATTTTCTTAAAAAACACATTGTTATGCGAATTCATCGCTAAACGAGGCACTCGTTAAGCGAGGCACCACTGTACTAAGTGTATCATCTAGGAATGTGATAACCCCGAGACACAAAATATCCTCAAAACGTCTAATATCTCCCAGTATGTAGAGCCAAGTGCAAAGTTAAGAGCGCAGAGAGCTAGATCAACTCAAGTTCAACAATGGGTCTTTGAAAATCATAATTATAAGCCATTACTTCTGGGAAGTAGATTAAGAAGAGTTAAATAACAGCTCCTCTTGAACAGAATACAGTGGCTCTTGAAATTATTAAAGGGAGTAACAGTGCACAGTAGTAGTGTGGTAATACTGTACTAATGGAATAATTCACAGTCCACTGATTTATTTGAACCATTGATCCTCAAAAGTACATCTCTCAAGTATTCTAATGTATACTTTAAAAAAAATAAGGCTTTTCACCCAGAATGTTATAGTTCCACGCAGCTTCCTTACAACTTCCCTCCGACAACCATACCTGGACTGCAACTGCACATTATGTCTTACAAAAGTTTTCGGATATCAAAATTATCTAAGTTGCATATGTGAAAAGATCCTGCAGGCTTCCCAATTCATATTTTTTTACACTGGCACTCCGAGAACGGCCAGTCTTGTACACCCAGGATTCCATTTTCAACCTGTCCACTCACTTCTCCAAAGGGTCTCTAATATCCTAGAAGAGAAAAGAAGGAAGAGAAACTAGTGCCTTTCCATAGATCATTCTAAAGGTAGCCACCGAATCTTGGGATTTCAGCTCCATACAGGCACAGCTCCTGGCAGTCTAACCTGGCGTATGTTGCTTGAGAACTGGATGGTGATGGCTATGGCAAGAGTTTACGTAGTATATCCATCCTAACTGCTGGCCTCTTCTCACAATCTCAAGGTAGCATAAATACAGTTTTCATAGGGGAAGTCACACAACAATTCTTAGAGGCAGGTTGGAACGGACAAGAGAATCTTGGCCAAGCAGCCATCAATACTTAGCTTACCTTCTACAGTGGTGCCTCGCTAGACGATGATAATCTGTTCCACTGAAATCGCTGTTTAGCGAAATAATTGTCTAGCAAAAAGCATTTCCCCATTGGAATGCATTGAAACCTGTTTAATGCGCTCCAATGAGGAAGAATCGTCGTTGTCTAGCAAAGATCGGCCATAGGAAAGCCGCTTTGCGAACCGCCGATCAGCTGTTTAAATAGCTGTCTTGTGAAGCTTAGGTCCCGAAAACACCTCTTTTGCGAGCACGGAGGAAGCTGGCAAAATCGTTGTCTAGCAAAAATCGGTTTGTGAAGCAGGGACCAAACATTGTCCAGCAAAATTCCCCCATAGGAATCACTGTTTTGCAAATCGCTACAGCAAGCGCAAAAAGTCAATGTCTAGTGAAAAAACTGTCATGCGGGGTAACTGTCTAGCGAGGCACCACTGTATGCCAGTGTTTCCCAACCTCGGGTAACCCAAGTGTTCTTGGACTGCAATTCCCAGAAGCCTCCCATACCAGCTGTACTGGCCAGGATTTCTGGGACTTGTAGTCCAAAAACACCTGGGGACCCAAGTTTAGAAACCACTGGACTATACTAGCTTCCAGACGTCCCATGCAACATTTTGTACCTTGATATTATCAGCTAAGGCCCTCAGAGACTGCTCATGACTGTGGGAGGAAAATTCTTAACTAGCATGAGCTTTCCTCACTGCCAGGAATATGCAACTTAGCTTGCTTTGTTTGGTGATTTATGTAATCTAATTTCAGAAAGACATAAAGAGTGCCTCACTCACTTCTCTGCAATATTAAGAGGCTTCCTGTTCTAAATATGGGATCTCTCTCTGTCTCTCTCTCATATGTCTTTTTCTGGCCTTATACTGTATTAGCCTCTTCCTACTACACATTATCATCCATATATGTCCCTTCCGTACACTTCTACTACAATGGCTTGTAACCCACAG